GTCATCATTCACGCCAAACCTTTTGCTATTATTATTTTCAGCCTTCTTTATCATGCAAAGTATTTTATACTTCTGTTGAATTCTCCCTACATGGTCACATTGCAACTAAAATATGAGAACGAGTTGACAATACAATATACTATTAATAACGTGCATAAAAAATATATATATATATATATACTATTAATAACAAGACGGTGACAATTTAATACGTAAAAAATACTCCACAATTATTTATGTATTTTTATGTTAGTAAATGGCTTTGATAGGGAACCATGATGTATTTTGTCATATTTATTTGTACTTAAAAGGAAAGTGAAAATTCTATTGAAAAAAAGTGAAAATGAAGATACTATGATATTTATCTTTGACTTTCTCAACCGTTTTTTAGTGGGATTTACTTTTGTAGAGGAGAATGACAACTTGAATATAATATTAGTTGAATTTAAATTAATTGTCATGTTTAGTTCGGCTATTGAAAGCATGATTCATGATGGAGTTTTTAACTAAATTTTTGTGCTTCAATTAATTTATGTTTTTATTTAGATGGATTATATTAGAATGTGACTTAACTATTAGTTTAAGTTTAATTGTGATATTTATATAGATATTAAATTATTTTATTTTATATTTACATGCATTTAAATATAATACCTCTAGCCTATTAATCACTCAATTCAAGTTGGTCCTATAACTCTTATAATTTTCATATATCAATTATATTTTATTTTTTTAATCTAAAATGTCTACATTCAACTACTTAATAATAAATTAAATTTAAATAAAATTTAAATTACTCAATTCACTATATTCTAATATCTTAAATATAATTAAAGACACGTCTTAATTTTTCATAATCTCCACTGATAGTTTGTTCAAGGGATAGTATATAGCACAATGGATGCAGGGAGAGGAAGAGAAGTGGATCTTTTCTTGGAAGTTTTTAGAGACGTGAAGAAGTAATTAACAAGTCCTTTTTTATTTTTTTTGGAAAATAGGCAATGGAATTAGTAAGTACTTTTGATTATAAAAAGGAGAAATCTAGCTGTAGACGCGGCCACTTGGCACTTTCTAGGCAGTCAATGGTTTGTTTTTGGATAAGTTCTAACAATTTGATATTGGGTTAAAGCCAACTATGGTCCCTCTACTTTTTGAATTATGTTTTTGGGTATAAAAATCCAGCATTGGTTATGTACTTAAAGTGTTAGGTAATATTTATTAGTAATTTGTTGTATTATACTATAGTTATAAGTTTTATCTTTTATTATTCTATAAATATATAAAATATTAATTAAAATTAATTAAGAATATTATCGTTATAATGCCATATAAAATTATAAATTTATAATTATTATATGACATTAAATGAGTGTGACATGTCATTAAATGAATGAATGCATATTATGTTATTACAATGCCACCTAACATTACAACTATATTTTTTTAAAAAGGATCTATAAAAAGTATAGTTAAATAAACTTTAATAGCATACAAAATTATTACATTTTCAACCATATTTAGGTTTGGTTTGGCAATGTTGCAATATATTTCTCTATCTTTTACTATCCTAAAAAATTTAAAATATTAATCAAAATTAGTAAAATGGATTTTTCTAACATGTGTCCTTTTATGTTTTAAGGGCACATGTTAAGAGTTTTAAAAGAATAAATATTAATATTTAATTTATCAATTATCTAATTAAATTTATCAACATAACAATGACTTTGAAATTAATGTTGACTTTGAAATTAATGTCAACATTTACATTTTTATATACAAATTTATGGTAAAAACTTCCCATTAATCTCTACTCTTATTGCATAAGTTAGAAAACTCTTAGTAAAAATATAAAAAATTAATTAAAATTAATAAATTCACATTTTTAACAAAATACTATTTGAAAAAAAATGTAAGAAGCACGATAAAATAAAACCAAATTTAACTGTTAATAATAACTAATAGATGATATTCTATATATAATAATTAACAATTGTTATTATTATTTATAATTTAAATGTCCTTATTCATCTTATTAAATAAAGTAGGTATTAATTGTTTCTTAATAACTATCCATCAAAAATATATTAATAAACTAAAAAGTTAAAAACAAAAAACCAATAATCTAAGTATTTTAGTAGTAATTTCTTTTTAATAAAAAAGATTTTGAATTCAAGTTTTATGATGTGTGAATGGGATATATTAAGAGATGAGAGAGTTATTTTTTATTGTGTAATTCAAGATAAAAAAATCAAAAAGAATAATTTAATGTGAAATTAACACTAATTAAATGTGATAATAAAATTACCCCAATGGTAATTAAGAAAAGAGACAGATAAAAATAAAAAATCTGAGACTTACTTTGTGCATTGAAAATCTAAAAATATTGAAATTAATTACTAGTTAGTGCATGCCTATTAAATTGATAGATTTTAAGTTCTTTTCCCTAATTTTGTGGGACTCACAAACGCAATTCACTAAAAAAAATGAAATATTGCACTTAACTGTCAAAGATGCCTCTGTTAAATGGGAGGCATAAACGGTGTTAGGGTGGTGTTAGGGGAGGGAGGTAAATGAAATGGAAAGTTAAAGTAGAGGAGGACTATAGTATGGTTTGGAAAAATAGAAGGAAGACTTTGAACGATTTGTAAGTATAGGGAAGACAATGAATGAAAA